GACAAAAAAGTCTTTGATGCTTTGTGACGACGATCGTTGTTCAATTAAAATTATGAGCAAAACGTATTAGCGTATGTATGTAACAGCGTTTGTTTGTGTTTTATGAAAAAAATAACACGACGCGTTTTTTTTTTGTTTTGAAAACTTAGTTCAGTTCAGTTTGTTGAGGGATATTCGTGTCACGAGACAAACAAGGCCAAACGCATGATGCACTCAATTTGATGTAGCACTGACATACATACATACATACACACACACAAGTTTCAAAGGAGACTTGTATGTATTTGAGTGTGAGTGTGTGTGTGTAGTACATGTGTGTATGTAATATATCCTTAAAGCGTGTAACTGTGGAAACACATTTGCAAAAATATAGAAACTAAAGTTTTTAAAAATATCGTGTATACCGTGGCTGCATCACAAACATAGGTTGGTGGCGAACTTGGTGCATAGATATAGTTGTTTGCAAATGAATGGTGTGTGTAAAGGGTTATCATGCCAACTTCGAAATATGAGAAAATTAAAAAAAAAAATTAAAAATAAATTTGTTAATATTGGCATAATAAAAATTCAAAATATTCAAATGGACATTTTATACTTGGGAACCAGATTTTAATGAATCTATTTATTATTTACAAAATATCATTTAAACGAAGTGCAATGTGATATTACGAGATTTCCAAACAGGACTAAAATACAAGATCACAATTTTGCCTTAGATTAACAATTAGTGAAATTTAAAAATTGTGTATCCACAAAATGCTTGACTTTGGAAACGTGAAAAAAGTTCTTATAAAATAATGATGCGAATTGAACTGAGGATTCTAGGACACTGTTATTCCGTTGTCAGATGGGTTATTAAAATTTCCTCGATATATCAAATTGCTGCCTTTTTGAAACTGTCTTCCCCAAAAATACATGTTTTGGTTAGCCAAAGGGGGAGTGTGTGCCATTTGGACGAGTGTGTGTTGTGTTTTCTTTTTGGTTGCCAAAATGTACGGTCCTTAAGGTCTACTTCTATGGGATTGCTGTATTTGTTGGAAGAGATTATATGTGGCTCAATTCTTGATTTAATCATATTATTTGAACCTGATTCATTGAAAATGCATTGAAAATCACCGGACCAAATTATATTTTATGGTTTTGAAGTGCAGTTATGAGAGCATAGGGTGTTTTCTGAACTTTGCTGTATTAATTTTCGGTAGCAAGTCCAGTATTCACAAGTAAATGAAAATGCACCAATAATAATGATCAATGTTTTAAGATAACAGATAAAAGTTAAAAGCAGTACACATGTGACCAAAAATTATGTCCAAACATGCTCGAAATCAGACGTATAAGTAAGCAATATTCCTGCAACTATTCCGGTGAAATCCGCAGTGAAAAATGTGGCATTTTAACAATGGGTACGTAATTTTCCCCCAGTATATATATAATCCACATTATTTTACATGGTAATTTTTCCATGCGAACAATGCTTAAACCAATATGCTCGAGATCTCTCAAAATATCTACATTGTACCTGTATTATTAATCGGGCTAGACGAACTCGTGGCAGAGGAGGAGTTGGCTCTCATTACGAATTTGAAACATCAGACTTTAGAAAGTTTCTTAGGAAGATTTCGCTTTAAATCGGAAAGAAGAACTGATATTAACCCATCTTCTAGCTTAGTATAAGTTTAGATTAGGCTAATTTTGGTGTAAAATTTTAATATTAAAACTTGAAATACTAAGTTTCAACCATTTTTCTTGAAAAATGTTTTATAAACCATCCAAATACAAAGACACCTGTGGATTATGAAAAACGAACTTTTTTTTTCAAAAAATCTGAAACCGCATATACCTTAAAGCTTATACTACACAATCAACGCGCCTTTTTTGGTATTGCATTAATTTTTTTTTTTTTTTTTTTTTTGAATAGAGTGGAAATTTTTCTCCCATCTACTCGTGGAATTCTGTAATCTTATAAAGGATGATTTTTTTAGAGCTATAGGGATTTTTTTAATAAAATCGTTCGATGTAATAAGATGTTTGAAGGTTATTTCATGCAAATGTTGATCGCGACTGCCCTCAAATTGTCCATCCGCTTAGTCCAATGTTCACGTACTCTTTCTGAAAATTTGGGACTTCTTTCCCTAATAAATACTTCTAATGTGTCTATTGAAGCGTGCTCTTTCGTATAGACATGAGCCCTACCGAAATAATGGTTTTAGACCTAAGGTTTCCTTGGACCAACTACGTCTCAGGACATTTGGAGTTGATCTAGGGGTGTTCGTCCGTCTGTATGTTTGACCGGCCGTTGCGCACGGATGAATTGCTCCAAACTTGGTACCTCGTAATACTATTATCAAACTTAGATAGAGTTCGGAGATTGGTTATATCGGTCCACTCTTTCTGTTACAATATCGGCCCAATCGATCAAATACATTCCCCGCAATGGGTCATCATTTTTAATAGTTATTACTCTTATAAAATGAGAAGTAAGTGTCTGATTCTTTTCAAAATCAACACATTCCAACATTTATATCAACAGAAGATCTATGTACAATATGTAGTCCTTTTAGTACCTTCCCCACAAACTGTCACAATTTTGAATACCTACAACGGCCATAGCGAAATAAGCAACTGATTCTTTTGAAACTTCACCCAACCCTATTATTACTTCCTTAGTCAAGATTTGATGAGAAAAAGATAGATATCCGCAAAGCCCTTCTGTTACCTCAATATTTTAAATGCCCATTTTTTTAAATTTTGCGGATCCGAATATTTATAACAATTCTAGATCATGTATAAACGTGGAATATATCGGATCACTTCCTCTAGGACCTCCTCCACAGCGGGTCAAGATTTTGACGATCCTAAAATGCTAAATGAACATCCTATTCTTTTCAAACTTAACAAACTAGAATTAATGTAAAGATGGAATATTTCGGTTCATTATAACAGGTACCTCACGCACATTTCAATATTTTCCAAAAATTATCGTATATTTCATATTAAGTGAAGGAAGTATTTGGTACAGGGTTGCCCATATTCGACGGACACATCTGGCAACGCCATAACTTTTGACAGAGATGTCACATCGCTTAATGACATACCGCGTTTGAAGCGTCAGTCCAAGCAGATTTTTACCATGAACCAATACACGCCACGCGAGCGCTCTGAAATAGTTGAAATTTACATTCAACAGAAGAAGTCAATTTTGAAAACTCAACGTTCTTTTAAAACATTAAAAAATGTGAGAAGTGCGCCTTCTAAGAACACCATTAAGCGTTTATACGAAAAATTTTCGACTGGTAAGGCTCTTTCTAATCCGAAGAGGCCATATAAAAGTCGACCAAGGCGATCGGCCGAGAATGTCGCTGCCGTACGAGCTAGTGTTGAGAGGTCCCCAAGAACATCCCAAAAACGCCGTTCTCAGCAGTTGGGCATGGCTCGGTCCACTTTACAACGGATTATTCGCATTGATTTGCATTTGTTCCCGTACAAAATTCAATTGACGCAAAGAATGATGCCTGCGGACAAGCCTCGTCGATTTGAATGCGTCCAAAGAGTCATCGGGTCCGTCGAATATGGGCAACCCTTTATAGTTTAAATCTAGCATGTTGCAATATATTTATCAGACTTACGACAGATACGAAAGAGACAAAATTGACCCGCTCCTTCTAAACCTCCCCCACAAAGGGTCAACTGTTTGAAAAATAATAAAACAAATAAAAACATATTTTAATAAACGGACAATAGCTTTTTAACTTATTTCAATCGATTTTGTTGAAGTTTGACCTGCATAATTTGACTTTTAAAATGTATGCATTAACACGCCCCACTGAAAACAATTTTTTTATGTTCTGGTCACAGAACCTAGAAGTAAATGCATATGACTAGTGGCGCCCAACGTGAGTCCAATGTAATTGATCATTTTAAAATTCAATTCAAATAATCAATTTTAAAGTACCGAATATCGGAAGATACCTTTCTTTTGTGGTTATGCGAAAACGTGGACAAATAGGTAAGAATTTTAGCTTTACCAGTTGATCCTTTCAAAAGTTGAAATAACTACCATGGTTAGACAGACTGGAATTTTTAAATCGTTTTAGAATTTTGCCTCAGCTAAGCGATAAGGATTAGGGACACAAATAGATTGTGCCAATCTTGTTAATAGTTCAGTACACCAATTCCTAAAAGTATGAGTGATTTCCTAAATTTCATATATTTTATGAAATTTATCACTCATACGCAGAGGTTTCCTACAAACGATCGGAGTCCCCGGAACTAGATAAGGAACTTGTTCCTTTCCTTTGGCGCAACAAGGCCTGCAATTCACAGATGAAATTATAATTTGGTCAACAATAATCTTCCTGATCCTAATTCCCCTTTCCTTGAATGTCTAGGATTTGGGTGCAGATATAGTTCATGGGTTTCTCTTAGTCTACTCTACATCTTTTACAAACCTACCACAACTAACATACATACACATTTTCTCACTTCTCTCGAAAACAATTTAAAATAAAAACATTAATATTTTCATATCGAATTAAATTTTATTTAATGTAGTAGATATTTATATAAAACAAACTTAAAATAAAAATATTTAAATTATTTAATTAAATTAAAATAATTTAAGAAATAAACATTTAATTTTTTTTATTATAAATAAATTCCCGATGACTTATTCAACTAAATAGAAATGTTTATATGTATACTACTACTCTCTTGTGATAACCCTTTCGTTTTTGGCATTTCATGTGGGTGCGAGAGAGTGTGTGTGTGTGTTCGGGGTGTGTGTGAGTGTGTGTTGCTTTGTGTTGACTTAGCTCAGAGTATTCTTTTACGTCTAGGGAGATGTTGGAAACATTGTTTGGGGGGCGGGAAATTGTTTAGTTTAAGTTTAGCTCGATACATGGGGGGCATAAAGTGGGGACAACTCAACTATGTTCGTGCTGCTGTTGTTGTTACTGACATGTTTGTGATATGAAAATTGGCGAACAATTTAAAGGAAAATATTAGCAAGAGACACCTTGCTTAGCAACCGTATACCAAGTGCTCACTTTGACCAATGACGGCGATTCCGGGGTGGTGGCCGCTGTTGCATGTCCCGGCTCCAAAGTCGCCGTGTGGATAGTTGTTTCATCCACAGTCGGATTGTTGATATTATTGGTGGTCATGGTGGTGGTGGTGGCTGTGGCGATGGCTGCTGCATTGGCGGAACTGGCCATGTGGCCGACATTGTTATTGTTAGGAGTAGCACCCTGCGGAGCAATAACGGTTTCTGTGCTGGCTAATGGCAGTTGTGGTAGTGTTGGTCTAATGGTCGTTGGCTGATTTGTTGCACCCGCTGTTATTATTGTTGTTGCTGTTGTTGTCGCATGACATCGACATGAACCAGGAACTACGGCTGACACTGACTGTTGACAGTTGGGATTTGTTGGCTGAGTTGAGCAACAGTTTTTTGCTGATGCGGTGGCAGCATTCGCCTCGGTGACAGCTCCTTCGGAGCTTGGAAGAACAACAACAACATCTTTGGTTAAGTCTGTCGTTTGTTGTGGAACTTGATTTGATGATTTTTGATTATCGGACACATGGTGGGGGGACTGAGGTGATGGCTGTTGCTGCTGGTGGTGGTAGTGGTGTTGGTGATGCCTCAGTTCACTTTCCATGGTCAGTGTGGTATGTTGCGATGTGGGACTGTAGTGTTTGCAGTTGGCTGCATACGCTTGTTGTTGTAGTTTGGCTTCGGTCATATGCGGCTGGGTGGTTAGTGTGTACTGCACTTGATATGCTGTTAGTTGTTGCTGCACATGCTGGGGATGATGGAAGTGCAGCAATGGTGGCATTTGTCGATCACGTCCCACTTGTGGTCCCACTTGAGGACAACGGAAACGTATGGCCTGTTCGTTGGCCGCATTAAGATCCCGTATTAATGGCAGTTTATGTTGTTGTTGCTGTTGTTGTCGTTGTTGCTCTTTTCTGTTGTTGCAGCCGGTGTTGTTGCCAGTACCACTGGCATAATGCTTGCTGTTGCGGGCACGTTTGGCACGACTCTTTGAGCGTTTTTTGCGGGTTCTCGAATGGTCACCACCACCACCACTGCGGCCCCCACCACCACCTCCATTACCCCTACTTCCCCCACCGCCGCCGCCGCTGCCTCCTCCACCACCACCATTTCCTCCACGTGATTTGCTACGCTCCCGCTTGGCCTGCTGGGCATTTCTCAGCTTACTCCGCTGCCGGGGTCTCAAATATCTTAATTGCAAATCAGATTGGGGTCTTAGACAATGGCGACAAAATGAATGCTCTGACTCACTTAAATCACTTTCACTGCTGACCTCATCAGGAACCAGGCTGGTGTTGTTATCTTCTGCATCTTCTTCATCATCGTCTTCCTCGTAATAGCCCTCGATGTAGGCGTTGCCGCCGTCATTTAGTTTTTCCTGACTTTGTCCCGTTGTAATGGTTAACATTTCGCTCCCTTCGCTTGCCTTTCCCCGTCCTTCCTTGTATTTCTGATATTTTCGTTGTTCTTTCAAAGCTTTCATTTGTTTATGTTTTCTCTCCTCATAACGTGCTCCTCCGCCTCCTCCTCCCTTACGTCGATTATCTACAATTGTTTTGGTCTTCTTGGCTGTTTTGGTTTTAGTTGTGGATGTGGACTTTTTCATTTCATATTCGTTGGGCGGATATGGTCAGAATGCAGAATCAAAGACTGACATTGATCTCGAGATGGCTTCGTCATTGTGGCAAGCTTCCAGAAATTCTTCCAGTGTCACCACACCATCACGATTTATGTCCATTTTCTGCGGGGAAAAAGAGAGAGAAAAGAAAATAAAAAACAAAATTAGTTTTGGAAAACTTTTGGGGTTTTTTGGTAACATTGTTCACAATACAGTGGAACTTCTCACATGAGAATATGTGAGTCTCAAATGTACAGGGTGAAATGAAAAAAACTGCAACCAACTTCAAACTGCTGTCATTTCTAAGCAACTCGTCCGACAGCTGTTCAAATTATTCCAGTGACAGCTCATTATATTCTTTACAAGCGTCCAAAGCATTTTGGTGAGAATTTTCCAGAAAAAAAGTTATTCGTGATGGAATTCAAGCGTGATCGTGTGATTTCTTTATATTTTGCCGAAAAATCACAAGTGACTATCGTTAGAGCACTCCAGCATTTAAATATGAATAAATCTTTTGTGTCTTGTACCATCGCTCGTTATCGTGATAGTGGTAGCGTAGCCCGACGTCTAGGAAGTGGACGAAAGAAAACAGCAACATCAGCAGAAATGTTTCGAAAATTAAAGAAACGACTTGATCGAAACCCGCGTCGCAGTGGCCGAAAATTGACTCGTGAACTGAACATATCGCAATATTCCATTCGGCAAATATAGAAAAATGAGCTCGGAGTAAAGCCATTGGAATTCCAAAATGTGCAAGAACTTACACCGCAACGGAAAGAAAATAGACTCAAAAGAGCTGAAAAGTTGCTTCGCTTGGCCTGGTGAACTGCCGAATTTGATTTACTCCGAAGAGAAAACATTCGTTGTCCAACAGTTTGTAAACCAACAAAATGATCGTGTTTACTTGCCAAAGAGGTCAGCTGAAAATGTGCACCTTCGGTTGGCCACCAGAACTCAAGCGCCGGCCATGGTGATGTTGTGAGCCGCCATAACAGCCGATGGCTGCTCGTATTAATCGACAGTGGCATCAAAATAAATGCCGAATATTATCGCGAAAATATGCTGGAGGCTGTAGTAAAGCCAGCTGAAAATGTGCACCTTCGGTTGGCCACCAGAACTCATGCGCCGGCCATGGTGATGTTGTGAGCCGCCATAACAGCCGATGGCTGCTCGTATTAATCGACAGTGGCATCAAAATAAATGCGCGAATATTATCGCGAAAATATGCTGGAGGCTGTATTAAAGCCATGGCCACCCTAACATTTTGGTCGCCGGCCTTGGACATTCCAACAGGACTCAGCCCATCGCATCCAGCACGCGCCACAAAATGAGGTTCCTCGCTTAATTTCCAGCGCAAAATGGCCACAAAAATCTCCGGATACTAATCCGTTGGACAATTGTGTCTGGAGTATTTTGGAAAGCAAGGTTGGCACTATAAAATACCAAAGTGTCGATCACCTCAAGCAAGTGCTTCGCCGGGAATGGGCCAAAATGCCACAGAGCAACATTCGGGCATCGTGTGACGGTTTCATTGGCCGTTTGAAGGCCATAATTCGTGCCAAAGGCGACCAAAGGGGCGGGCCGACTTTATGATGACCTCCACCACTTTGCTAAGTTAGTAGAGCTCCACATAACAATTAAAAGATATTATTGGAGATTTTAATCATACACGCTTTGATTATAATTGTAATTTAAAGTTCAAAGGACTAAATATGCCGAAGCATTTGTATCTTTTAAATTCGGACTTGTATTGCCCATTTGGTGCAAAATTAATTTGAAAGCAGATAAGTATATATATGGGAGCTATATCCAAGTCTGAACCGATCTCGACAAAATTTGGCAAAGATATTTCTGAGCTGTATTTGATGTATTTACCTGAATATCGTTGTTACGGAGTTCATATTATGGCTGTGGGTAACAAATACAACCAATCGGATGAACAATATATATGGGAGCTATAGCTATAACTGAACCGATCTTCACCAAATTTGGCATACTCAATTCGCTCGCATGTGCCGAATTCCCATCCCATTTGGGCAAATATTAAACGTTTGGTGTGCAATAAAAGGTAAATCGGACGAAGTTATATATGGGAGCAATATCCAAATCTGAACCGATCTATATAAAATTTAGCAAAGGTATTTCTGAGCTGTATTTTATATGTTTCCCCAAATATTGTTGTTACAGAATGCATATTACTGCTGCGGAGGACAAAAATAACAAATCGGATGAGCAATATATATGGGAGCTATAGCTATATCTGAAACGATTTCGATTAAATTTGGCATACTTATTTTCAGGCATAATTTGGTTGTATGTGCAAAATTCCATACTATTCGGGCAGTTATTACACGTTTGGTGCACAATAAAATGCAAATCGGACGAAGATATATATCGGACCTATATCTATTTTTTTACCGATTATCTCCAATTTCAATAGGGTTCGTCCTTGGGCCAAATAAATATTGTTTGAAAAATTTCATCTCAATCGGTTAATAAATGCAACCTGCATTTTGTTCACAAGAATACATGGGCAGAAGGACGGACGGACAGACGGACTGACATGCATAAATCAACTCAGAAAGTGATTCTATGCATATCATCAAAAGGAACTATGGGTCTATCTCGTTTCCTTTTGCCTGTTACAAACAAATGCACAAAGACATAATACCCCTACCACTATGTGGTGTAGGGTATAAAAAAATGTAAAAATTATGGGTTTTGACTTTATTGCAGTTTTTTTATCCCACCCTTTTTTTGGAAAAACTTTGCATTGGGTGAACAGATAGTGCTGTTGGTATATGAGTTTAAGATTTGGAGGTAGATTTGAAAATGTGTTCTATATTTGTACAAAATGTACTAAATTTTGTATTGGGTAATGGGATAGAGCTAAAACTTATAAACTGTTGGTGTCTAGCATTAAGGTATGGATCTAAAACCCTAAGAATAGTACCGAATGTTACTAATTTTAGTATTGGGTGAAGGGATAGAGCTAAAAGTTCTCAAATTTGATATTGAGATCACTATTGGTTTTCTTGTCTCAATATTGCAGTATCCTGTCATTTTTTGGTTTTGAAGGACATAACTGTATTTATCAATTGAATGGACTTCAGTTCTGTGCTTTTAAAGGTCTCAAATTTTAGGGAAGACAACTGATTTCGTCATCATTTAAGTTTTCATGCATAATAAAAAAACTTAAACGTAGTTCTTAATTTTTTTGTGTTTTAAATTGAAACAGAACCGCACATTAAAAATCAGAATTGTAAATCGTAGAATAACCTCCCATATAACGACCGAATCTTACAATTATTGCCTTCATAATAAGCAGCCCCGTATGTGGATTGAATTTCTGGCCTCTTCCAAATTAAATTAATAATCAATATAAGAAAATTTCACAAAAACCTCTCCTTTATGGTTTTATATAATCAACATCAAATTTCCATTTAGATCACGTACAAACAATGTGACTTCAAAATGGATTTTTACGTTTCCTTGTTTAAACTTTACCATTTGCAATTTATTAAAACCCATCAATAAGTAGTTGGAAACAAATGTCTTTGGCAGGTTTCCTTTTTGTTTTCGAACAAAACAAAATAAAAAGGCGTTTCTCACTGCTGCTCTGTGACATTTAAACTTCTACAAACAATGACGTTGACAGTTTAGTAAATGATTTTCAAGGTAGAATGACTTTGATATTTATTTTTTTTAGACAAAAGTTTGCAGATGTAACCATAAGTTTTGGGTTGTCGTTTAAAATTGTGCCAGTTTTCAGCGATAGATTATTGACGATAATGTGTTGGAGAAGAAGAAGGTATTTTTGAACAATACGCAATGGTTCAATGAAATGGCAAAGTGAGGAAGGACAATTTGAAGACTGGCTAGGCAGCGAAATACACCGGAACTTCAAGGTTATATGTGGGAAAACATGGACCGGTATTGACAATGTTCTACCATAGAAGGTAAAACTAATTACTAACTCTAATACTGATCTCTTAACCATTCGGTTAGAAAATGTGGCTTTAATCGTCATAATACCGTATATCGGAAAGTATCGTTATATTATGGCTATACGAAAACGTGGACCGACATGACCTATTTACGAACTTGACCTGCCTGTTGTTAAGTACACATAATCATAAACTTTTATCTCAAATCCTTCCAAACTTAGAGAGATTTCAACAAATATTCTTACAGATAGACACATTGATCGACAGGAAGAACGACATCGACAAATCCACGTAAATCTTATTTTGTAGGGAATAACGTAATTATTACGAGAGTTACATGGTGAATGACAAAGTAAATATACCCTTATAGTATGCTGGAGGGTATAAAATTTATTTGCCACTAGTTTAAAAGCATCTAATAAGATTACGGTCTGGGAGGAAAATGATTCTGAAACATTTTCATAATTTTGGTGATTGGCTCTTTTTGTCTATGAATGTAAATATTACGACTGTTTTTCCACTTTCGACACAATGATCTCCATAAGAGCCCGGATGTCTAGATTATCAATATTGTTAGGGCTCTGGAAGAATTATAAGTCTAAAGGTTCTTTGCACTTTCTTTCCGTGAAGTTTACGCTCTCGCTTAGGGATATTTTCGAATTTTCTGAGCAAACTCTAAAATTATTTTGGCCTAGAAGTTCCATATATTCTGAAGGTACTTTTTGAGATATTTTTTTGAGCCCTGTTTTTATCCTACGGAAAAAGGTTTACAACTATTTTGGAACCTTTTATAGTTCTTATCAGTAACTAGCAAGTGACAGCCACTTTTCAGCAAAAAGTCCACCTTAAAATTTATGGATTCGTTCCACCAAAAATTTGTTCATTAATTCTTGGACAAAATTTCCAAACTTTTTAGATGCATCAGTTCGGTACCAACATTGACCTCAGTATCAAATTTCAGGATTCAAGTTCTATCCATTCACTCAACGGCAAACTTAGCACCATTTAGTACTTTCACCATTTAGTAAGCATTCCGAAGTCTATCTCCTTTTCTCAAAACTATGTACTAACATTGCCTCCATAACAAATTTCAGAATTTTAGCTCTATCCTTCGACCCAATACCAAACATATTACGACACTTTTCGTACCGTTGTACCACGCATGTCGAAATCCACCTTCCTCTTTCCACCCTAGACACCAACAGTGACCTCGGTACCAAATTTCGGAATTCCAACTCTATACCAACATTCATTTGCCGCATCTCCAACACGTACAAATGCCGCATTTCCAAAACCACCTCCAAATCTCAACTACAGATATCAACACTGGTATTTTCTTGACTCAAATTCCATATCTATCCCAACACCCATTTGTGGCATTTGTACACATTTCCCAAACCATTTCCATCTCTCAATTCCAGATACCAATAGAGACCTCAATACAAAATTTGATGATTCCAGCCCTATCATTTCAGTTAATACCAAATTTAGTACTGTTCATACAAATATAGGAAGCATTTCCTAACCACCGCCAAATCTCATACTCACACAAATACCATCAATAATCTAAATATTAAATTTCCGAATTTCATCTCTATCCATTCACCCAATACCAAATGCAGTACTTTTCGTATAATCATAATATACCCAATAACAAATTTAGTACCATTTAGTAGTTTCCCTCTCAAAACCCACGTCAATATCTCAATTCCAGATACCAACAGAGATCTCAATATGAAATTCAAGGATTCCAGCCCTATCCCTTCATCCAATACCCAATTTAGTACCATTTCGTACAATTGTAGTACACATTTCCAAAGCCAACTCTATATCTCTATTCCAGATACGAAGACAGATACATTAACCCAATACCCAATTTAGTTTAACTAAGTACTTTCGAACAATTATAGTACAAATTTCCAAAACCATATCTTAACCAAAGACATCAATAGTGACATCTTTATAAAATTTCAGGATCTTAGCCCTATTCCTTCAGGCAATACCAAATGTTGTACCATTTAGTACTTTTCGTACAATTATAGTAAATATTTCCAAACCGCCTCAATGTATCAATTTCAGATACCATCAAAGACCACAAAATCAAACTTGGCGATTCAGCGCTATCCCTAATCCCAACCGGATACTAAATTCAGTACAATTTAGTTCTTTCGCACAATCATTGAACGTTTTTCCACACCACCGCCAAATCTCAAAAACAGATACCATCAGAAATCGGAATATTGAATTTCTGAATTTTTTTCTCTATCCCTTCCCCCAATACCAAATATAGTACCATGCAGTACATTTCTTACAAACGCCGAAACCAAGTCCTTATCGTAACCTGAGATACCAGAAGTGACATCTGTACCAAATTTCAGGTTCTAGCTATATTCCTTCACCCAAGAGCAAATTTAGTACTTTTCGTACAATTATAGTACACATTTCCAAAACCACCTTCCAGATACCAACAGAGACTTCAATATCAAATTTATGGATTCCAGCCCTATTTCTTCACCCAATACCAAATTTAGTACTATTTAGTACTTTTTGTTCAATTACAGTACACATTTCCAAAAGCACCGCCAAGCTTTTAGCACAGATACCATCAATAATCTAAATATCAAATTTCCGAATTTTAGCTCTATCACTTCATCCAAGGCCAAACATAGTACTTTTTAGTACTTTATGTGCACATTTCCAAAACAACCATTAATTCCCAATCCTATTCACTAACAGTGACCCTAATGCCAAATTTCAGATTTGAACCACTATCCTTTTACCCATTACCAAATTGTACTAAACATACTACTATTTAGTACTTTTCGCGCATTTTTAGTACACATTTCCATAACCACCTTTTTGTCAATACAAAATACCAAATGTAGTGAATTTTAGTACTTGTGGCACACTCATTGTTCGAAGCTCAAAAAAAAGTTTTGTTGTTTTATTTCAGAATGTAAGTTATATTCCTTCCCCAAATACAAAATTTGATAGTATTTAGTATTTTTGTACTTTGTACTACGTATATCCAAAACTCCCGCCATGTATCAACCAAACCGCACCAAAGGCGATCCTAATTGCAAATTTTAGACTTCCATCTCAATCCCTTACAGACATACCTAATTTAGCTCTTTTTAGTACCTATTTTTAAAACTACTTCCAAATCTTAACCCCATACACAAACAGTGTCCTAATGCCAAATTTTAGTTTTCAAATATTATCCGTTCATACAATACCAAATTAAGTACCACAACTTTCGTACACTTGCTTAACTCACTTTTAAACCAGACTCTTTATCTTAATTTTACCCCATAAACCAGCAAAACCAAATTGTATCAAAGTGTACGAAATTTAGTGCTTTTTAGTACTTGTAGTACTTCCCACTAAAATTGACCCACATCCGAATTTACAGATGCTAGCTTTAGCCGTTTTGTCTGTGCGGTGATGAATTAGTCAGCCAGTCACTCATGTTTATACCCTTAGCCATGTGGCTACAGAGTATATATAACATTTGATAAGGTTTAAGACACTTTTTGTAGCAAATCCGTCTCAGGACATTTGGAGTCGATGTAGCGGAGGTCAGGTGCGAAAATGGACAGTATCTGGTAATATGTCAAATTTTCCACATTCAACTATTTTTGTTCAGTATCAGATAAAATGAAATACTTTGACCTCTATATCTGATACCTAACTTATATTTCAACATTTTCCAAAAATTATCACATATCTGGAATTGAATAATATGTATTTGTCTACTCCTTCAGTATCTCCTCCATAAAGGGTTAATATTTTGAATAATCGTTACATAAGTCAAAGTATATTTTAAAAAACTGGCATAGCTGAGGATATATGTCGGTTGGCAAAATCGACTGATACTTTTTTACTTGTTAATATAGTATAATATTTTATCTATCTCCGATTCCCTTCCCTAACATTTTCCTGAAAATTCCTCCCTGATCCTCTTTGGCATGTCTCGCTTTTTAAAGGGGGAAAAGAAATTATTATTGCTTTTGAAAAAAAACAAACAAATTGCAAAAAATAAACACCAACAACCGTTGAACTATTAATAATGTCGGTTATGCAAACGAAAGGAAGTTAAGGACAAAACGATGGCATTTGTAATGTTTTGCCGGCTGTTTTTGCTGGCAATATTTTCCCCTCTTTGGTCGGTCCGGGTCTGCTTCAATAACTTACTAGCCAATATGTCAGCATAATATTTATTCAATTAACTTCCGCTCAACATCATTCAGTTGCCAAGCGGCACGAAGGACAAGGACCTTCAACTATAAATAATCTAAGAATAGCATAACGAAGGACCACAGCGAGAGAGAGAGAGCAAAATTACCACAATTTCTGGTAAAGATATCCTCAAGAATTTACCATTTCCTTAACACAATGTGGCGGTAGAAGGATATCCATCAAATTACAGTTACATATAGATACACAGACACACACAAACACCTTGGAAGCTTTTCGATATTTTATGCAAAGGACAGCCAGGCAATCAACCAGCCACTCACTCAATCAGTCCGAAGGTACATACAGACCACACCAATATTTTATGTAATATTAGAATAGCTAATATTTCCCCCCCTCTCTCTTTCATTTGTTTTGACACAATGTCAAATGCAAGGCAAAGAGTAGTGGGAGGGAGTGACTCTTTTTTTTCTTTCTTTCTTACCTGAAATATTCTTTCCACTTTGCCTTTGATTTTCTCCTCTTCGGGCAGCTCGTCGGGCAGACGTCCCATTAATTCATAAATGGCAGTCACAATATCAGTCATTTCTTCCCGTGTTATGTAGCCATCGCCATTGATGTCATATAATTGAAAAGTCCAACGTAATTTCTCCTCGACGGAACCACGCGACAGTATCGAAAGTCCTTGAACGAAATCCTGTAAAAGGAAATGAAACATAAACACGAAGGCACAAACAGACACACACACATACACAAACAAATGGTTAGTATAACATTCATCTATAAGTAGGTGGAAAGAATGAAAGAACGAAAAAAACAATTTAAAATAAATTCTTCAATTCTTCGATGTATATTTTTGTGGAGCGTTTTTCTCTTTATCCTTGTCTCTTTCTCACTGCTTATTTTTGCATGAGCGAAGATGAATAAGGATTTTTTCCTTTGGTTTTTTCTTTGCTTAAGAAAAAGTAAAGTGCAAAGCGGTGGAATGAAATGAAAATTATGACAAATTGAAGGTGAATTTATGAAATTGATGTACATCTTGTCAGCGAATGGTAAATGTATTTTCTTCAGTTGTAATGATGTGGACAGTGGTGTGGAGGGGATGAAAAATTAAAATTATTTTTTATATATTTACTTTAAAGACGCTATATTTAAAAGGCACATTGCTTTAACTCAGATATCTGAGATTTTCAAGATGAAGTAGTTTTGAGAGAGAAACGTTCTACAAATAACTCAATGACCACGAAACTTGCGAACAAATTCTTTTAAAATACACAATTTTTTTGGCAAGAATTAATAAATCTATAAAGAAAAGTAGAAGTTATAACTATTGGGTGCAAATTTAATAGTTCTTCCTTAAAAATACATATTTTTTATATTTTTAGTTACCTAATTCTTAAAAGTTTCAAACTTGACTATCGAGGGTGGGCCTTGTCAATTATTTTTTAAATATCCCAGATGTATTTTTTTATCGGAAGTCTTTAAAAAGTCTTTGAGAATTGTTTTTAAAAATCCAGTTGCTCAGGAAGTTTTTAAAAATGAACAATTTTTTTATGGCGGAAGGTCTTTGAAAATATTAAAAAATCACTATTTACTTAAGACGGCAAGACCTTGGAAATAATTAAAACAATAAAATTTAAACATTCGAACACGACTTATAAAAAATAAAAAAAATATTTTTTTAAAAAAATTAAAGTTTAAAGCCCTTGAACGCTATTTGTAAAAAATCGAAAAGTCTTTAAACACACATTTAAAAAAATCTGTACTGTCAAATCAATATAGTACACGTTTCCAAAACTATTATCATATCTCAATTATAGATACCAACATGAACCTCAATATCAAATTTCGATATTCCTGCCCTATCCCGTCACCGAATACTAAATTTAGTACCATTTAGAATTTTTCGTATAAATTTAGGAAGAATTTCCAACCCATAAAATCTCCAACGCAAATACCACCCACAATCTAAATATCAAATTTCTGAATTTTATTTCTATCCCTTGATCCAATACCAAATACATTACCATTCAATACTTTTCGCACAATTATAGTACACAGTTCCGAAAACACTTTCATATGTCCAGGCTTCACATGTACAGCGACTCTTATACCAAACTTTTCGTAACCTTAAAGTTTGAATTTCCTAAAAACCTTTGATCCACCTACCCTGCACTCCGTCAGTGACTCTCATTCTGAATTTCAGAATTCCACTTCACTCCTTTTGTCCAATACAAAGTGTTGAATTTACCCTAGTACTAGGTACTTTGTACCCTATTATTACACATTTCTAAAAACTCAGTCCTGCCACACGACTACGCACCAAGATTCTAGCTTCCTCCGTTTACTAAGGCCTTAAATTCTCACTCACTCTGCCAGTCAGTTAATTTACTACGCATTTATATACATAGATATGATCATTCAAAATTATGACCCTTTAAGGGAAGTATTAGGATGTTGTGGACCGATGCATACCATCTTCACACGAGATTTTGTGTCAATAAAAATATTGTAATTTTCGAATTTTAAGAGAGTTATAATTATTAAATTTTTCGACTGGTTGTGAGGAGGAGGAGAGGGCCGGTCGTTGTGCCGGTGGAAATAGTGAGAGGTGCGAGCTTTGAAGGTAATCGAATACCTTGTTCACATTTAATATGAGTTATAATTATTCACAAAATTGTACCCTTTGCGGGTGAGGTACTTGATAAAGTGGGTCGTTATTTTCCCTTTTTGCACCTGACCTGCCACTGAAGAAAATATTAGGATTTGAAATGTTTGAACAAAATCGGATGATTATTTCAATTTCTGTGAAGTAAAATATTTTCTTTGTACATTTTGAACTTTTGTGGAAGAGGTACCGGAAGGAGTGGACCGACCTTCCCCAACATCGAACACGATATAAGTTTGATAATAATTGTAATATGATGCAACAAGTTTGGTCCGAATCGAATACTGCCTTCGAGAGTTATCCAGACTTACAGACGGACAAACCCTACCAGAGGGACTCCTGAATCGGATTTGGTCCAAAGAACTAGGTTCTAAAACCGGTACATCGATGAAGCACGCTTTGGCCATATTAAATGATATATAACCCCTTCAGCCGTATAGCTGAGGGTATACAAATTCCGCGATATATTTTTGGTATTTGTCGTCGTAAAACAATCACTAGACATTCCACTATTTATTTTTAACCGGGAAATCCATAAAAAAATATTTCTAAAAATTCACAAATTAGTTTTAGCCTTATCCTCGTTGTAGTTCGACAAATATATTGAGATTCGCCACATCTAGACCAAATAGGGGACCTCTTTCGCAATTTACTCGAGTCACGATTTTTAAAAAACATGGACTTTTTCTGTGTGAAATAGCTGATACAGATACTTCCTTCGCCTTTTAAACTCATATCTTAAATAAGTAGGCGAGGTACCAAAATAACTAAAGCAATATAGCCGATAATTGAACTTCACCTAATTTTGGTTCATAGACAAATTTTACCTTTTCACAAGAGTTGGGATTTTTGCAAATGTCTTTGAAGCAGATATCAGGAATTAGCATTGAATCTAATATTGTCGAAAATATTTAAACTGAATTCATGTATTTCGAGTATCGCATTGTGGGGGAGGTATTCGAAGGGCTGGTCCTATGTTTGTAATTTTCGCATCCGACTTTTATCTGACACAAATTTTAAGATATGCGAAGTTTCGACAAACGAACTACATGACATGGCTGATTTGAGGCAAAACTAAAGTGGATTTCATTCTTAACCCGTATTAGGTCCTAAGATTAAAGGGAGAGTGCACCATTATTAAATTTCCACAACGTATCTTATATTGAACATAATATACCTATTTTATATTATATTTTTTTTTTATTATTTTTTAATGCAGTAACAATTTATATTAATTTCCTCCAACTGCTGCTCGCCACTGTGCCCATATCCTTCAATAAATCATCGAGGATAGTAATAAAACTGGCAAATCACCTTTTAGCCCGCAGTGGAATATCTCTTTTTTTTGTTGGTAAATTGCATTGCTGGATGTCATAAAAATGAGTGTGGCCCAAAGCCACGCTCAGTAATTGTCCAGAATTTGTTTTCACTCGCTTCCAGAATTTATTTTCATTCCGTCACGTTATCCCCCATGTCCTTGTCGTTTTATCATTTATTATTTATCGTTTTATTATTTTGTTTCTGATTGGATTCTACTTCTATACGGTTTTGGTTTTTGCAAAGGTCATTTGTAAAGTAAATTGAAACACCGTGGCCGTGGCTATGTGGCTGTGCGGCCTCTGGTTGTGGCGGGAGATGAAAGTTAAGATAAAGTTTTTTTTTTCCTGTGCTGCCACTCTGCCACTTCCCATCCCATGATTTGTCGAGGAGAAAAAAAAAATATAAATAAATCGAAATTTCATTTCCGCCAGATCTCTCAACCACGAAACGAAATAAACTTTCGCCAACAGAAATTCATAAACTTTGCCATCATTTGTCTTTCGTTTTTTGTTTCTTCTTTGGCATAGTTTTGTGGCTGCCTTTGGCGCCTAGAAACAAGTATTAATAAGCGATCAATCAAAACAAATCTATATATTTTGAAAATATTTTTGTTTTTGACTTGTTCAAGAGGAGGGGTGAGTGTGGGGATGAGGAGAGTGTTTTATGGTTGGCAGTGTTTGAAAAGTTGTATCTTATAAGTTTTGATATTTGTCTTTTTTGTTCTCTCTTTAGCTCAGCTGAGCCTTTTCCAATAGCCATAATCATTAGCATGATAAACTTTTTGGGCTAACATTTTTGGATAAATAGCTGGCAGTTTATTGCAGCTGTTGAGGTTTTGTTCAAAGCTCAAATTTGGGGATGAGGTAATTAAGGGGGAGGGGACAAACACCTCATTTGGCGTTAATCTGTGTTATAGAGGTGCAAACGTATTTCATTGGATAGTGATTTTAAGACTTTCAGATTTTCGTGAGAAGCTCTTCGGGGAGTAGAACTACGGCTCTTCTGGGAGAAGGCCTTTCTGTTCTTTTGGGAGAAGATATATCAGTTCTTCTGGGGGAAGATATTTCAGTTCTTCTGGGGAAAGATATTTCTGTTCCTGTGGGAAAGGGCCTTTTCGTCTCTTCTATGAGAAGACCTATTTGTCTCTTCTATGAGCATACCTTCTGGTCTCTTCTATTAGAATACCTTCTCGTCTCTTCTATGAGAATATCTTTTCGTCTCTTCTATGAGAATACCTTCTCGTCTCTTCTATTATAATGTCTTTTCGTCCCTTCTATGAGAATACCTTTTCGCGCCTTCTATTAGAATACCTTCCCGTCTCTTCTATGAGAATACCATCTCTTCTCTTCTATGAGAATATCTTTTCGTCTCTTTTATGAGAATATCTTCTCGTCTCTTCTATGAGAACGCCTTCTCGTCTCTTTTATGATAATACCTTCTCGTCTCTTCTATTAGAATATCTTTTCGTCTCTTTTATGAGAATATCTTTTCGTCTCTTTTATGAGAATATCTTCTCGTCTCTTCTATGAGAATACCTTCTCGTCCCTTCTATGAGAATACCTTCTCGTTTCTTCTATGAGAATACCTTCTCGTCTCTTTTATGAGAATACCTTCTCGTCTCTTCTATGAGAATACCTTCTATTCGATGAGAATACCTCATCGTCTCTTCTATTAAAATACCTTCTCATCTCTTCTATGAGCATACCTTC